AGATGTGATGGTCAGACGGATCAAATAACCAGGCTGGACTAAGATGGTCCATCTACATTTCACACCATGTGGGTAACGGACTGGATATCCAGGACTTGAGATAGTTCCATCTGGTTCTGTGAGAGTCCCTCCACATGCTATAACATAGGAACACAGTGCACTGAACAAGGCAGAAAAAACACCCACAGAGGCAGCTCATAAACCCTTAAAAACCATGTCCTTTACCTTGTCGTCATAATTCTCTAAATTTTTGAGAGATTGCATTGCCTATTTTAGCCCACTAGTAATCCCAACACAAATTTAAATGGCTTTCATTGTGTGAACCCTGATAACCTGGTAACAAAGTAGAGAAAAACCTTTACCGACATCTAAAGACTTGTATTCAGCCATGAAGCCGAGGTTGGTAACAGAGGATGCTCGGAATTTTATGTAGAGATAGTTCTGGGTCGACTGAATGATTGATGGTGCAGTGACACCACAGTATTTCCCCAAAGAAGGAGAATTCACATTGTTTCCATCTCTGATCTGAAGGGTGGAAGGTAAAAATCAGTATCTGTATCAATAACATGATAGACAACATTTCATTGAAACCATACAGCACATACAAAGAGTAATTCTCGTGGCTTAAATTAGTTCAATATGCTGGCGATACAGAATTGTTCTTCTGTCTATATCTAGAAACTATGCAGCATGTGTAGGCCCAGATAAGTAACTGGGTAACAGATGGATGTAAGAGGTCATTCCAGGTTCTGCAAAACAGTCTTCTACAGTGATCTCGAAGCCGACTTGTTTTGTTAATGCACACAGCACAAGCACCAACCAAACTGATCTAAGACTACTGTTAGCTGTGTGAAGATATCCAAATATTCAACATGACTGTGCAAACAACTAAGGCACAGTTGATGGATGCAGGAGAATGAGGTGCAGAATCCTGAGGTGGTATAACACATAGATAGCACCATTTTAAACTGCTGGGGGAGGATCACATTTTGAAATGTTTTTTCTATGTTAAAATCCCCTACAATTTTTTAAAAAGAAAATCAGCACAGCAAGCAGAAAGATGGCATAGACCCTTTCTGCCTGTTGCACCAGTCTTCTGTTCATGTTTACTCTCTCTTATGGGAAAGATGATTCCAAGCTGCAATCTAACATCTGCCATCTGAAGTGGGGCAGTCCATTCCACCACCTCAGAACTCTGCTTCCTCATTCTCCTGCATTGTGAGCAAGTCTGTACTTTAAAAAAAAGACATGAGCTTCCTCATTCTCCTGCATTGTGAGCAAGCCTGTACTTTAAAAAAAAGACATGAGGTTATTCATTTAACCAGGGGTCGTTTCGTAGAATAACTCATTAGCATATGCCACACCCCCTGACATCAGGGGCCCGGCGGTGGACCTGCAAGGCCGGCGAAAGTGCGAGGAAGCCCCGCCAAGGCCCTCCCTGGCCCCAGGCAGGCAGGGGTGAGGAGAGGTGGGGAGGAAGCAACTTACCCTCCCTCTTCTCCTGCCTCCTCCTGGCTGAATGAGGGCCGGAAGCGGGGCGGCTGGAAGACAGGGGTGGG